GGGGGTGGGGGGTGACTTTTTGGCTCTGCTCGTTATACCAAATTTAGCTTTCTAGTAGTTTTTTTGTTGCACAGAAGAGCAGATAAAAGACGGTCTCTATAATTGTGACATGATTGTGGTGGCTAAGTCCCCACTGAAGGTTGCGGTCATTCGGCCCGCCACCGCTTAACGTATCGGGAGCAGTAACTGACCTCCTGACGATGTGATAAAAGCGTAATGTGGCACGCAAGTGAACGTGTTATTGCCAGGCTGGGATAAACAAAGCCATAATAGCGGTCGGTCCTCCTTATCTTCCCCCCCCCCCCCCTTCTCCTCTCCTGTCCTGTGGCTCGAAAGGGAGTCCTTCAGGCGGCTTGATTAGTGGAGAGATGACATTATTATCTGTGGTCTGAGACGCTGCACCTATGAGAGCCCCCGTTCAAGGGCCTGCAGACCTCGTCATCCTTTCAGATGAGATTATTGGCTTAATTCATCGCAAGCGCATGCATGCAGAGGGTTTCAGACTGACTGGTGTCTTTTAAAAAAAGTGCATTAGACATCAGCAAAAACACTTTTTTTTTCTAATCTAACAAAGAAAACTGACAAATGATTTTAGGTTCTGGTCAAAACTAATAAATTGCAAAGCAGGCTGCAAGACTATTTTTAATATTTTGTCTGTCGGGTTTACGTGAGCCTCAAGTTTGGTGATGGTGATTAGCCAAGATACAGTTGCTTGTTAGTCACCCCGTTGACTGTGTTGTTGAAATGATTTGCTCCCAGTCGACCAGTACGCATGTCGTGTTTGGTATGGACATGTGTGAGTGAGTTACAAACAATCTGATCTGACAGAAAAACAGCGGTGAAAGCATATCTTCTTGTGTCAGACGTCACGCATGAAGCCGAATACAGTCACGCTTCCAACATGGCATGACAGGAATGAGCAACTGGCAGCGCAACCTGCAACCACACTGAGTGGCCCGCTGATTAATATTTGAAAAAATATATATATATTTTTTTGTTTTGCCCCCGCCCCAACCCGCAAGCGCTTTTTCATGGAAAATGTATGTAGGAAGCTTATCAGATGTTTTTTGTTTCGGGGGAGGGGGTGTTACAGAAAAATCCAATGCATAAGCAGATTTTTGCGATTCGCAAGCTGGCCTAGTTTTAAGTTGTAATGTCAATATTCACCACTTGATGGGAGACATGGCTTTGTTGCGCTTGCACCGGATCTGAAACTGACCTTTGCTACGATGTTAGTGGAATGGAACTATTTTTTGGTGGATTTATAATAAGATATATATGAGTTCCTGCACTTCATGTTGGTTTGCTGTTCAGCAGTTTTGTGCCATCCTTGATTGGTCATTTTTTTTATGCACAAAAGCCCTCTGCACTGAAAAAAAACCCCACAATAGGTGGTACTTTTTGGATTGCTCAACCCCTTTGTTGTTGGAAGATGGATTTTGATTGTCTTTACAAATGTATGTATTGATTACTGATTGTATATTGGTCAGTGTGCATCACGTCATGGTTAATGAACAGCCACGGTTATTTAACAAACAGAAAGGACTGACAATTCAATCAGGAGTGAACAAAAGAAGCACAGAAAGACGCGGTGATGTTTTCTTAAGGCAAAAGGGGGTTTGTCTTTTCCGCTCACGTTTTGCCCCCCTCCTTCCTCTTTCCTCACGCTTAGCCCCGCCCCCTCCTCCTCTCACTGGTCACCATTGGCCGGCTCCCGCGCGCTATCGCCGCGCGATTGGCCGATTCTTGCGTCGCTCAAGCACGCCTCGACTTATTTACCGAATGTATGAGCGAGGTGGGGAACCAAATGGGGCTGCCGGAGTGACTTGGCTGCTTGTCCGGCCCGCAACAGCTGACGAGAGCGGAGCACTTGAGCGCAGCAGCCTCCCGGGGAACAAAGAACTGCGGGGGGACGGTTTGCGGAGCTTTCAAACCCGGTCCAAAAGCAGCGGAGTGCGGGGAGGACAAGACATGAGGCACGCCGTGTCACCGTCGGAGAACGTGGAGAATTGTTCGTTCGCTGTGACACACTTGTTTAAGATATGTGCCCATTGTGAACGGCTCGGAAAAAAGGTAATCGAAAAAAAAAAAAAAACGACAGCAATTTTCATTTTCATCAGCGCAGCATCGAAAAGATGACACATGCGACCGTTTGTTGGTGTTTTAAAGCGATGTCAGTCGATTTCTGCTCTCGGGCAACTGCTTTTCCTTCGACTGAATGAGCTGCAGTGCAGTCTTTTGTCCGGACTTGTTTGTCTGTCAAGTTTGGGAGGAGGGGGCCCTCGAATGTTTTGAAAAGACCCCAACACACATTTTTATTGTCGCTTCTATGAATTGTTATATCGACTGATTCCGTTATTTTTCCCACGTCGTCCCGACAGAATTAAGTCATTTGTTGGTCAGTTTATTCATCTTCGTCTTCTGAGTGGACATGTCCCTACATGAAGAAAAAAAAAGTTCTTTTCTTTTTCCGTTCATTTACATCCCTTTTAATGTCTACTGTGTCGCTGTGTGCATCATGCGACCATGAAATCCTCCAAAAAAGATTTTTCGTCATCAATGCCTCAGTTATCCTGTGCTTAATCCTTGCACAATAGCTCAAAAAAAATCACTTTTAACATCTACTCTGCTCGAGATGTGCATTATATTGCCGTAAAACCACCAAACCAAATCATGTTTACTGATGCTGTGCTTAAAATCGGATATTTCATCACAAATGCCCCCATTAGGCTTAAAAAATGTCACTTTTATGCCTGCCGTGTTCATTATAGTGCAACAAACTTATCATGTTTACCGACACTGAAGCCATAATTATCCCCCCCCCCCCAAAAAAAGTCACTTTTAACAACTACTGTTGTACTGCTGTTTCACAGTTACTGATTCTGTCCTCAAAACTGATTTTTCATCACAAAGGCTGCAGTTATGCTTAGAAATGTCTCAATGTTGTGTGAGTTGACAAGACGAAGTAATAAGTTGAAGCTGCTATCGCTATTAAATGTTTCGTACGTTTTATGGAGCATTAAGCATACTCACACACTTGTGTATAGATAGCCATGTTGTGCAGTCTATACCTCCTGGTCATGCGTTGTCTAAATTTTGCTCAAAGGACCTCAAAGATAATTTCCCCGCCGTAACGAGACGAGAAAGTATTTCAACTACATTTTCCCCTTTTATGTGTCTTTCAGGATCTGGGAGTGCGAATCCCAAGACCCCTGGGAAACGGGCCAAGCAGATTTATCCCTGAAAAAGAGGTATGGAAATGTTAATCCTGCCAATGAGGTTCCCAAAAAACAACTTTATTGGGCCCGTTTATAATGTCACGTATTTTCGTCCCAGATTCTTCAAGTCAGTAAAGTGGACACCAGGACACAGTCGATCTTTGAGGATGCGTTCGCCGCCCTCGGTCGCCTGGACAACATCTCATTGGTGATGGGCTTCCACCCGCAGTACCTGGAGAGCTTCCTGCGCACGCAGCACTACCTGCTGCAAATGGACGGGCCGCTGTCGCTGCACTACCGCCACTACATCGGCATCATGGTGCGACCCCACCTGGACTTTGTTTACCTCACCTTTTCAAACGCCACGCGTCTTACGGTTGTCGCATCATCCCGCGTGTAGGCGGCGGCTCGCCACCAGTGCTCCTATCTGGTCAACCTGCACGTCAATGACTTCCTCCAGGTGGGCGGCGACCCCAAGTGGCTCAACGGGCTGGACGGAGCCCCAAGAAAGCTTCAGCAACTGGGCGAGCTCAATAAAATCCTGGCCCACCGGCCGTGGCTGCTCACCAAGGAGCACATCGAGGTGAGAAACCAAACTCAGGACGGGTGGGTGTGGGCGGTGGCGGAGTGGTAGGGGTGTGAAAAGTGTTGCGCAACAGCTGAGGTCATACTGAGTGAGCTAACCAACTCCGCTTCGTCTTTATCAAGGGTTTGCTAAAAGCCGAGGAGCACAGCTGGTCACTGGCCGAGCTCATCCACGCTGTCGTTCTGCTCACGCACTACCACTCGCTGGCCTCCTTCACCTTCGGCTGCGGCATCATGCCCGAGATCCACTGCGACGGCGGTCACACCTTCCGGCCGCCCTCGGTCGGCCATTACTGCGTGTGCGACATCGCCAATGGCAACAACCACCACGACAGTCCCTTTGGCAGCCAGGTGAGACAAATGCTAATGGTTGTGCACACTCCTCGGCCATCTGTTTTCCCCGTATGTGGCACGAGCCATATTTGGATACAGAAACGTCATTCAAATTAGACACCATACAGCAGAATCTTGTTTTGCCCTTGCAGTGCAACGGTGGGTCACATTGACGAGGAAAATTGTTGTGCAGAAATCAACACAATTTCACAATTAGATAAAAATGACAGTCTGCCTCTCTGTCAGTTACACCCTTTACCAAAAATGACTTTCTTCAGGCATTGGCATGGCTCTTATAGCCAGGTGGTCTAGTGCCACCTGTTGCTGGCCTCTGCACCTCACAGCACATGACCACCCGTGCGCATGTTACCACATGTCCAGACGTCAAAACTCTTCCCCCTTACCGGCACGTTGTCCAGGAGGTGTGCGGCGGCGAGGTGGAGGTGCTAATGGAGCGCATGAAGCAGCTGCAAGAGTGCCGCGATGACGAAGAGGCCAGCCAGGAGGAGATGGCCACGCGCTTCGAGCGAGAGAAGACAGAGAGCATGCTGGTGGTGACGGCCGAGGACGAGGAGTGGGTGCCCTCCCGCGACATCTCGCGACACTTCGAGGACCCCAGCTACGGTTACAAGGACTTCTCCAGGAGGGGCGAGCACGTGCCCACTTTCAGAGTGCAGGTACACTCGTCGCAAATGCAATGGCGCCCGTGGCCCCAATTCACGATCATGTCTCATTTTAATTCGAATTTTTTTTGGGGGGGCTTTTTGCAGGACTACAGTTGGGAGGACCACGGCTACTCCCTGGTGAACCGTCTTTATCCCGATGTGGGTCAGATGCTGGATGAGAAGTTCCAGATGGCGTACAACCTGACGTACAACACCATGGCCACGCACAAGGACGTGGACACCAGCATGCTGCGCAGGGCCATCTGGAACTACATACACTGCATGTTCGGCATCAGGTAGGCAAGAGCAGCTAACATGTTGACGGAATAAAATTGAAAGGGTAGTGCGGGCGGGGCGGGTGCTGGAGGCGGGGTACACCCTGAACTGGTTGCCAGCCATTCACAGGGCACACATAAACGAACCACATCCGATAATCAAGCCTTTCATTGTAGGTTGTGGAGCGTATTATCAATATGTGGTCTTTTGCCCCCCCCCCCCTCCCCATGTGATTGTCAGGTATGACGACTATGATTATGGTGAGATCAACCAGCTGTTGGACCGTAGCTTCAAGATCTACATCAAGACTATGGTGTGCAGCCCAGAGAAAACCACCAAGCGAATGTACGAGAGCTTCTGGAGGCAGTTCCAGCACTCTGAGAAGGTCAGACACCTTTTACTCATGTCGAAAAAAAAGAATAAAAATTTTACGTTGCTGCTAAAGGCCTCCTACCTCTCTCCCTGCAGGTCCATGTCAATCTGCTTCTTATGGAAGCGCGAATGCAAGCCGAACTTTTATACGCTCTGAGAGCCATCACTCGCTACATGACATGAAGTGCTTCTTTTTTGTTTCTTTTTTTTCTCCCCCTTCTTCTTCTTCTTTTTTTTTTTAAGTCATGTGTCATTCTTGGGACATTTCAAGAAAACATTTTTGGGGGCAGAGGAGCTGGATGCAAGATCAGAACAAAAAGCAACGAGTCAGTTTTTTTTTTGTTTGTTTTGTTTTTTTTTTTTTTTTTTTTAAGCCTGCAGTGCCAAAAGTGACCAGAAGTAGGCAGCACATGGCTTAAAAAAAAAAAAAAGCACTGACAGTATTCCAGCAACATCCCCTTCATTCATTTTTTTTAATGTTTGTCATCACTGTTTTGTTTTTCTTTTCCATATCTCATTTCAATCATCATCTTTTTTGGGGCCCATACGTATGTGCCTGAACTCCCCAGCGCAGTGTGCGTATCCACGATGACGATAATGAGATGATGATGCTGCTCCCACTGTTGTATTCAGCAGGGACAGGGAGGGGGGGGTCATATTGACCCCCCTTGTCCCAACCCCCCAAAAAAACAAGTTCCCCATCCACTGCATTCTTCCCAAATGTCCATCCATCCATCTTCTACCGCTTATCCGGGGCCAGGTCGCGGGGGCAGCAGCTTTAGCAGGGAAGCCCAGACTTCCCTCTCCCTAGCTACTTCTTCCAGCTCTCCCGAGGCGTTCCCAGGCCAGCTGGGTGACATAGTCTCTCCAGCGTGTCCTGGGTCGTCCTCGGGGTCTCCTCCCGGTGGGACATGCCCGGAACACCTCACCAGGGAGGCGTTCAGGAGGCATCCGAATCAGATGCCCAAGCCACCTCGATGTGGAGGAGAAGCGGCTCGACTCTGAGCCCCTCCCCGTTGACCGATTGGCTCAGCTCCTTCTTTACCACGACAGACCGATACAAAGTCCGCATCACAGCAGACGCTCTGTCGATCTCTCGCTCCCTCCTACCCTCACTCGTGAACAAGACCCCAAGATATTTAAACTCCTCCACTTGGGGCAAGATCTCCTCCCCGACCCGGAGGGGGCACTCCACCCTTTTCCGACTGAGGACCATTGTTTCAGATTTGGAAGTGCTGATTTTCATCCCAACCGCTTCACACTCGGCTGCAAAACGTTCCAGTGAGAGTTGGAGAGCCCTGCTTGAAGGAGCCAACAGTACCGCATCATCTGCAAAAAGCAGAGATGCAATTCCGAGGCCACCAAAACGGACCCCCTCAACGCTTCGGCTGCACCTAGAAATTCTGTCCATAAAGGTTATGAACACAATCGGCGACAAAGGGCAGCCTTGGCGGAATCCTACCCTCACTGGAAACGATTCCGACTTACTGCCGGCAATGCGAACCAAACTCTGACATCGGTGGTATAGTGACCGAACAGCCCGTATCAGGGTGTTCGGTACCCCATACCCACAAAGCACCCCCCCACAGAACTCCCCGAGGGACACGGTCAAACGCCTTCTCCAAGTCCACAAAACACATGTGGACTTGGAGCCATAAAGGCCCGATAGGACTCCTTCTTCAGCTTGACGGCATCCCTTCCTGCTGGTGTCCACCAGCGAATACGGAGGTTGCCGCCACGACAGGCACCAACTACTTTACGGCCACAATTCAAATTGGCCGCCTCAACAATAGAGGCGCGGAACATGGTCCACACACCTCACAATACGTTTGGGTCTGCCAGGACGGACCGACATCTTCCCCCACCATCGGAGCCTACTCACCGCCAGGTGGTGATCAGTTGACAGCTCCGCCCCTCTCTTCACCCGAGTGTCCAAAACATGCGGCCGCAAATCCGATGATACAACCACAAAGTCAATCATCGAACTGCGACCAAGGGTGTCCAGGTGCCAAGTGCACATATGGACGCCCTTATGTTTGAACAAGGTGTTCGTTATGGACAATCCGTGACGAGCACAGAAGTCCAATAACGAAACACCACTCGAGTAACAAATGTCCGTGTAAGCTAATTCAAGTCGTGTGTGTGTGTGTGTGTGTGTGTGTGTGTGTGTGTGTGTGTGTGTGTGTGCAAACTCATAGAACACTGAGCCCTATTTGAGTTGCGTGTGTGAGCATGTGTGTGTGCGCGCGTGCATGTGTTAAAGAAAAAAATAAAAAATAAATAGTTTTTAAAATTTCACGTGTCAAAAAAAAGCGAGGCACTTTGAAGGAGACTTCTTGCTTCTGCTGTAGCTGATGTTATTATTGACGTAACTTGTTGAACGTGTCATTGATGACATCGTCATTCTTCTTTGTTTAGTGGTTTATTAATTAAGAAAGACTGAAAGAATGAGGGGCTCCGGTATGTGGTTGGTCCGGGAGGAATGGCTAACACACAGACACACACACACACACACACACACACACACTCGCACATGCGGACACATGAACACACTCAAACACTGCTAAGCTGTCTTCCGCGTTATCCCGGCTGCCTGGTCGCCCCTATTTGGAAGGCTGTGAATTTTACCAGTGAAATAAATACCTCTTCTCTAATCTCCATTCAACATTTTCTCGCTCTGCAAAAAAAAAAAGAAAAAGAAAAAAAAAGCATGTATGGTGGTACCCTGACTTTAGAGTTTAATTGTGAGTTGGGAGATGCTGAAAACACATAACGTGGTGCTCTCAGAAGTGAAGGCACCACTGTATCTCCTAATCATTTTTTGTGGCCATGCGTGCTTTTTGTCAGAGTGACTGTTTAAAAAGTGCTCTTTGGTGAGCTGTCTTTTTTTTCCCCCCCTCCCCCTCCCTGGCCGGCCATGTTCCCGTTTGCTGTGTAAAGGGGACGACGCCGGCTCGCCATCAGGCTGATTTGCGCTCGCAAATGGTTGTAGCTGTGCTTATTTCAAGCCTAACTAGTGCAAAAAAAAAAAAAAAATCAAAAAACAAAAACGAAATAAAAAAAAGCAGCTTTTGTTTTAATGAAACAGTTTTGAGTAAAAAAAAAAAAAGCAGTCAAACGCTGCGTTTTTTTTTTTGTTGTTGTTGTGAGGGCGGATTAAGACAAGCGATGGCTGGGAGGTTTTCGACAAAAAGAATGGTACCGTTGGAAGTGAGTCAGAAGAAAGTGAAAGAGATTTTTGTTTTTCAAAACTTCTGACTGATGTCAGTTACTGACACTTTTTTTTTTTTTTTACACAAAATCTATGAAAAATGGACAAAAATAAAACTATAATATTGAATTGTTGTGTATCATTTGTAGCGTTCTCTTATTCTAAACTTATTTGGTTACATTGAGCATTTGAAACGTATTTGGTTACATCGAGTCAAAACGTCTCACCAGGACCGCACACTAGCTAACGCCGATGGGGGGGGCGTGGCACTGCACTGCCATTGGTAGTGTAGTGGTTCACATAGTGACAGCTCAATTCAGCCATCGTTTGAACTAGAGGAGCTCATCCTGCTTGCCTCTATGTCACAATTCACTGAGAAACAATCGTAAAAAAACATTAATATGTTAATTTCTATTTTAAGGCCTCCCCTGTTGAATATCATGACATCATCACCAGCACAATCACCATATCACCCCAAAATGCCTTCACATCTCATTTAGGATTTAAAAAAAAAAAAAAGACGTCTAATACTTCTTTATATCGCGAGTAATGTTTCAATTAGATGTAAACCTTTTTTTTTTTTTTTTCCTTCAATCATGATACATGAAGTGCTGTTCCTTATTTGTGTTGATGTAACAACCATGTGACTTTGAAAATGCTGTTGTGGTTGGGCAACTTGTAAGCACTGCCTGGCCCCCCGTGTCTGTAAATTGAATACTGATGATGATGATGATAATAATAAAGGCTTCGAGAGGCAACAGCGGCGCTCGCTTCGTCTGTGCTTTTTTTTTTTTTTTATTTGTTTACACATTAATGTTGTTTACCGAAGGAGATTGAGGCAGGTCATCAAACACACGCACGCGTGCTCACAAAACCAAAGTGATATCAATGTGCAAAAAAAAAAAAAAGTGTTGTAAAGATATGTGAGGATGGACTTTAAAGTGCTTTCATATAAGTCACATGATGATGGGATTTAAAAAAGTCACTTGCACAACAAAAACATTTGCAAATATATAAGTACAGTACATATGCTATGATCGATATTAATCAATTTTCATTGACCAGCTTTGATAGAGTTTCTGGGCAACGGGTCGGAACTCCAACTCCCATAATGCCCTGTGGTAGTCCTCGTCTTCCATCCACTTGACGACCTCTTCTTCATCTGAAGGCGGTTGATGAATAACAGAGTGAGGTGTGTGCGATATAACAGTGGCAAGATGCAGCTGCAGTGCATGATGGGAGGTAGAGAAACATATTTCCATTCTCCCGTGATGCATTGCGATGCCCCGAGATCCCCCAACTGACCCAAATAGGATGTGAGGATCTCGAGTAGCGACTCGCTGTCCTGCGCCTCCACCGGCTTCTCAGGTCCGCCTCCGCTGCTCATGTTCCACAAGGCCTGACATAGTTGAGCCGACAGCTGCCAGTCACCTGCTCCCAGGTCTCTCAGGCAGTCTGTCAGCCTGAAATGTGCATACACACACGGATTGGCAGATTTTGTTCATCAAATATTTTTTAATTACGTTTGTTGTAAATAATGAAAATGTATTGAAGTTAAATACAATTGAACTGTAGTTAGGTAGTGGCATACCACTAGAGGGAGCCCTACCAAACTTTGCACATGTCTACTTTTACACTTGGAACTATAAATTGGGTTTCCACTGGACGACACGAAATGGCGGTCTTACTTAAAATGCTTACTTGGTTGCAGCCCCTTCAAGGAAGAGACTGGCTCTGTTGGAAGGGTCCAGCGCCAGGTTGGTGAGAACCCCACAGGCCGAGAAGCACACGTCCGGGTTCTTGGAGTCCAACAGTGTCACCACGAACCTGTGGACTGAGAAGGTGAGGTCAGCAGTCTTGTTTACAGCTCCAATTAGCCTATCGAGAGTGTGTACATAAGAAAGATTTTTGGTATTACAGTGGTACCTTGTAGAGGTGGTGGACTTAAGTCACGTGACTTGATCATTGATTTGTAAAGACCTGATTTGAACTCGATGACTTATTCTGTGTCCATTTGTAAAACACTGTTATTTATAATACACACTGAGTATTGTTTGTTTGTTTGTTTGTTTGCTTGTTTTTTTTTGGGCGGTGTACTCAAACCCAGCCGGCCAATGGCTGGCTACATTATAAGACTGCGGCTTCCTAGTCGGGCAAGTGTCACGGAGGAAACTCCACAAAGATGAAAACATTCGGATGGAAGCATGAAATTTTGAACGCAATCGCAGAAAAATACAATAGCAACATGCACGTTAGTTTGCGACTCGAAGAGCAAGGCAACATGACGTTATTTATTCTTCATTCGTCTGAGTAGACGCAGGTAAGCTAGCTGTGTGAGCTGTGAAGCTATTCAGTTGGCTCGATTTGCGTCACGGTTTTGCTCACCAATAGCTGGTCAAATATTAACTCGACCTCGTCCGTTCTGCGTTTAACTGCTCAGACAATAAAGTAACTGTAAGAAGCGTGTTTAATTTTTTTTCTTTTTTTATGTTAGAAGCGCGTTTGCGCCGATAACAGCGCGCCACCCCTCCACGCCCGCGAACTGGACGTTTAGGCAAAATTAAAAAAAAGAAACCGTACACGGAGTAACTTCTTTCAAACATTACTGGATTTATACACGTGTGACGGTTTTTCAGGGTGTTTTTTTAATGGCGGAAAAGGTCTTACCAAATTAACTAAGAAACTAAGAAAAAATACACCGGCGGGCTTCTGAATCAGTGAAAAAAATATTTAATCACTCCAGGATTGCATGACCCGACGTATAACTTTCTTGAATCAAGTAATGAACTGACTCGAGTCGCTTAAAATTTGGAGGCGACTTGACTTAACTTGAGTTTTTTTCGACAGTGACTGGAGAAACAGAATTATAAATATTTGCTTGCAACTCATGGCAAAAAAAAAAAAAAAAACACGTCCCAGTGATTGCTCATAAGTTGGGCCACTTGTAAATTAAGGTACCACTGTATTGGTTAACGTGTTGATCATGAACCTTTGTTCTGCATTATAAAGTCCCGCACATCTTTGGACTGCGACAAGTTCCCGTAGACGCGCGTGGCCTCCAGCATGGCGGCCATGTTGGAGCTGAGCACCAACTTCAGCATCACTTGAGTGACGAAAAAGGTAAAAAAAAAAAAAAAAAAGTGATTATTTTCTGCACTTTATCTTCATTCTTTTGAAGTGTTGCTCTTACACTGGGCGATGGCCAGCTGGCTGCGTCTGAGCATCGCGCTTTCCTTGCGGTAGAACGTCAGGTTGTTGATGGCGGCTGCCACGTTCACCGTGAGCTCCTCGCTCTCCTCCACCGACCTCAGCTCTGCGACAACACGTGCGCACGCATGCACAGTAACAGTGTGAGGTGCTGACGAACATCGATACTACCTCCGATTTCTCACCCAGTGTCTCCATCAGCAGCTGGACGCATGTGGTGTTGCTGGCCAGTGCGGCGCCCACGTCCTCATGGATGCACATGTTGGCCAGCACCCGGACCAGCTTCACCAACACGTCCTCGGCCTCCCGGCGGCTGGCCGTAGGCGACGGCGGCGGCGGCGGCTCCTCCTCCCTCAGCTGGTAGTCGTCGTACAGCCGCAGGAGGGCGTCCACGGACGCCTCGCAGCGGAAGAGCTGCTGGCGCGCCTCGTTGTTCTTGGCCGTCAGGTTGCCCAGCGTGAAGAGGAGACGCACGACCAGGTCCTGCGGGAGAGACGTGAGTGTTTTAGAACCAGCGGACAGTCTTGACGCAGTGCAGTTTCACAGCACCGCAAAGCAAAATAAACAGCCAACCATGTGAGAAATGTGGCGGAACATTTTTTTCATTCAAATTCGGTCGTTCTCGCTGGTGAAGTCAAACCAGCATATTGGTCAAACTCAATCAATTATTGAATCAAAAGTAGAGCGTAATAAGTGATCTTACTTTTGCCTGATTAACGCTACACGGGTCAAGTTAATTTGACCTTGCTATTCTCTGATATCCAATGATGTCCACTTCTCAGCCTTTCTGTGACTCTTCCAGTCTCTATCTTTGTGGCAACCAGGCTTATGATCGTTTTGGATTTGTCATTACAATTAGTCATAATTTAGACTTCTATTTTTTAAATGGGCTTATTTAAAAAAATAATAATTTTTTTTTTTAAAGCAAGTGTGCTTCGTTTTTAGTATTAGTTTTAGCTTTTCAGAGAAATCATGGAGCAGTTGAACGCACGGTATAGAAAAAGGGTTGTTTGTGCCAAAGTGAGTGAGTTAAAAAGTGCTAAAATTGTCCTCCTTTCCTCCGCTTAGGTGTCCAGAGTTTTCTCGTGCCTCCGGAAGGGGGGGGGGGGGGGGTCAGGCGCCCTCAGCCGCCCCGGTGCTGTTCTGTCAGTCAAATGGTGAGCAGGTGCACTTGGACGCACGCGCCTCTCATGACCAACCCGCCCGCCGTCGTGAACGTGCAGCAACACAGGTAGAAGAACAGGACGGACTGTCCTCTCAAGAGGGCGTGCGTGTGTGTGTGTGTGTGTGTGTGTGTGTGTGTGTGTGTGTGTGTGTGTGTGTGTGTGTGTGTGTGTGTGTGTGTGTGAAAACGTTAACACCCTCTCAGCCACGTCTGAGTGCTTACTCAAGGGAGGCGGTCATTTATTCTATTCTTATTCCTGTTGGCTTCTGGATCATGTCCTGACTGGTCTCAACTGAAGCTAACCTTTGTCTGATTCCACTCAGCGTTTTTTTTTTTTTTTTTTGCCTGAGTCATCTTATCTGATCTGGGGATTATTACATGTCGACACGCACATTACAGACACACACACGCGCACACACAGATGTAATGTCCTGTAAATGTGCTTGGGACTCGCCGTTTGTAAACAAGCTGATGTGCAGATAAACAGCAAGCTCATTTGTGGAAGCTAAACCCTCCGAGGACACCCACTGACTCACCGGTTTTTGGTGGTGTTTGCTCAAGTGTTCTAAAAATAGTTGGTAGCAGTCGGGGGTCTGCGCCAGAGCGAGGCAGCACTCCGCGTACGAGGAGAGTTTACTGAGGAGACAAATAACATTCTCGACTCAAATGTAGGCCCAGTTCAATGACTCGCATCTTTTTTTTTTTTTTTTTTTTAAACCGGTTCCCTGTGATTTCTAAAACCGTTTGTGCTCATTTGTGGAAGCTAAACCCTCCGAGGACACCCACTGACTCACCGGTTTTTGGTGGTGTTTGCTCAAGTGTTCTAAAAATAGTTGGTAGCAGTCGGGGGTCTGCGCCAGAGCGAGGCAGCACTCCGCGTACGAGGAGAGTTTACTGAGGAGACAAATAACATTCTCGACTCAAATGTAGGCCCAGTTAAAGGCCCGCCTTTTTTTTTTTTTTTTTTTTTTAAACCGGTTACCTGTAGATTCTAGAAACGTTTGTGCACACGTCTTGGTCCTGATGATAGCGCTGCAGAACCAAGCAGAGATCCGACATCAGGGAGTGGGAGACGAAGAAGGGACGGGCCTCGGTGTGGTCGGCCAGATTTCTCAGGGTGGCAGTCAGCTGCCAGAGGTCAAGGGGTCAAGATATGGGGAAGATTCCAGGTTAAGATTAGCGACAAATTGCCCAATCTCGCAAGTCATTCACTATTCAATCAATGCAGTCGGCTGCTTTATATTTCCATCATTTGAATGGGCCATGATTTTTTTTTTTCAAATGCAATACAATTCCTCTTATGTTTGTAAAATGAATTGACCGTAGTAGTACGGACCGTACCTGTACGAGGATGTGTCCGGCGATCGTCACGTGAGGGTCATCCACCCTGCATAGCTTCCGGATGAAATTATGAGCTGTGCTGATGAAGTTTTTTTCCATCAGGAGGTGGACGACGGCGGCGTTTCCCGACAGAAATTTCAGCGTGCCGGCGCCGTAAAATAGCGCTTCGCCGCACGTCGTCGCATCCTCGCGCAGCAGCAGCTCGAGCAGCGAGTCTAGACAGAGGTAGACCCCCCCCCAACACCCCCACCTTCACTTAAAATCCACAAAGTGCAGCTTTTGACATTTTGTGATCCCGGGAAAAGAAATGTGTTCACCTAGGACTGAGTTATTCTGGAAGAGGGCGTCGTTGGCTTCACTGCGACTGACCTGGAAGATAAGCTTGCATATGTTGAGCAGGTTGGTCCCGCCGACATGTAACTGAATAAAAATAAAAAAAAGTCACTTTTTCACAATTTTTTTTTAAACAATCGACCCTGCGGCACACTCACGGCGAGACACAGCTCGGCGACATGCATGTGGAGGCGCGGGGAGTTGAGGTCGATGAGTTGGAAGATCGTTCTCAGTATACTGGAGCGCCTCTTACAGCGGTGTGGGCCCAACATGGCCGCCTCCTCCAGGGCGTCGTAGAGAGCAACGCACAAGTCACATAGATGCTCCAGTGAGGCCTCGCAGCTGTCTGGAGGATTGTCGGAAAAAAAAACAAAAACCAAGTGTGAAGTTAAAAAAAAAAAAAAAAAAAAAGGATCGCGGTATTTGCAAATACTCTTGCGGGGGAAAATTTCAACATGGTTTTGGAATGTGTTTGTGGGAATCTTTGTCCAGAAGAAGGTCACTAAGAGAGCCTGGCTCAATTTTTTTTTTTTATTTCTAGTGCTTTCAAAAGATGTTTGGGGTTGGGGCTTTTGTTTTCCTTCACACCAGAAAAAATATCATTCCTTTTCATGCCTTTATGGAGCAGCAAAAACAATTGGCGCTTCCCCAAATTGTGACAGAAAAAACCCAAATAAGCTTCGTGTTTGTATGACGTGTCAAACGATTCATTCGACACAATAAAAAAAAATGACAACAAGAGTTTGCAACATATAGTTGCCAGATGTGGCTTCTTCAATTTCTTCATCCAACGCTACTCTTTTCTCCCATATTTGTATTTTCCAGCACTCCGAATGCCCTGTGGAACAGACATCTGGTTTGGCAGATTACACTTGCGATTATCGGTGGAGATATCGTTGTGTGTGTGTGTGTGTGTGTGTGTGTGTGTGCGCGTGTGTGCGTGGTGCACCGTCGGTCATCTGGATTACACCGCACACTCCAAAGACAGTAAGTAACCACATACAAGTGGAGGGTTGTTAACAAGTCTGCCAAATTTGAAGGAATAAAAAAAAAAAAAAAAGAATGCAAAATTATTCATAATAGAGCCCTCGTCCTAACGACGCTAAAAAACACACCCATCATGAGCGTCATTTCTCAATCAAATAGGTGCCTGTGGCTCATCCAATGTCGGGAGTGTGATTCATGAACGAGCGCTACTGTGTTTAAGAAACAGTTAACTTCCCTGAAAATGTCTCTCGATACACCCTGAACGGGGCGATGACGCATCGAGTGAGACCTTAGCTCGCGCGCTAGCCAGTCAGCCATTTTAGAGCATGTCGACATCTTTCAATACTTGTTTGCCGGTTGACTGAAGATGCTTTTTTTTTTTTTTTTTTTTTTTGGCATACCGCGATACCTGACTGCAAGCTGAGAAAATGGGCACAAGTTGGTTTAAACTAAAGTTTAATGTTGTATCTTCACAATTGAGCACTACTGTCTTTGCACCAGTTTGTATCTTCAAACATACCGAATCATTTTACCGCACCTTTAGGATGTTCAACATCGGTACGTGTGCGCCCTGCTTAAGTCAACCGACCCGAGATGGGATTTATTTCCATTCACGTGCCTTGGCCACCTGTGCTCCCCACGCAAAATGGTCCCCTGCCAGTGCTGCATAAATACCCTGACACTCACCAGATTGTCTCTGGCACAAAGCGAGCATCCCCAGCACATTTTACAGACAGATCTGCTGACCCCCCCGACCTCGCCTTTTGTCTCCCCGCTCGCTGGCCTGTCTGCCCTTCGCGCTCCCGACTATTCAGATCTGTTTCCACCTCGCTTTTGAGAGACTGCTTGGACAATGACCAGATGTTGCGTCCCCCCCGAAACGTCTGGGCCCTGTTCTGGGCCGCCATCGGGCACCACGTCCACACATACACGTCACACGATGTCCTCTACTGATCGGTGCACTTGAGGACAAATCTGCCCCATCAATAAAACATTAGCCGTGAAATAACATCCTCCCTTTTCGAGGAAACTAAATGGAGCGGCGCAATCGCACAATTCCAATCTGGTTGCAGAGGAAAGAGAAAGGGTGGAGCCCGTTCCTTGTTTTTTTTTTGAAGTACAGTCATAAAAGTGTTCCCGGCATCGAAACTAGGGCTTGGCGCACTCTTAACACCTTGCTGCAATTTTGCACGCATGAACTCACGAGGCGTTGGGCAGACTAAATATTGAATATTTGAACTTTGGAAATTACATTTGGACAGTGTAGAAGTATTTTAAATGTGTGCAGACTGCATCACGCTAACACAATTTTTTTTATGGGTAACTTTATTTTGGTTTTCCTTTGCCTTGCCTTTTTTTTTTTTTGAAAGTGTGAGCCATAAAGCATACAGGATAACTTCCTGCTCAAGCCCAATGCATGGCATCGGATTTGCCATTCATCGCGTTTCCTTTTTGTGTCGCTCTTACCACCCGCAGCCGCCGCAGCCTTTAGCTGCTGGAGAAGAGGCGCTATCGTATCCCACCGCGAGTCTGCACCTGTGCTTGTGTTATTCTTTCCACTCCCGCCCAAATCTGATGAGAAGAGAGACAGCGAGAGCACATTGGTGAAAATGAGCCTCGGCTTGGTTCACAAGTTCACCGTCCCTTAAAATAAAGCAGCGGGAAGATTGATGGCACCGTCGAAAAGGTCACACATCGGCTGCGAAACTGCCACGGACGCCTTTTATCAATTTGTATTGCGTCGAGATTCTTGCTGAATGCCGCGCACGCAACGGTCTGGCCAATGCATACATCAATGCTTCGCGTGACACAGGAAGTTGCGGTTGTGGAAAGCAATTGTCTAGTCGATTTGTCTCACGCTGTCAAGTTTGTCTTCGGCAACGTCTCTCAAAGCAGAACGAGACTCGTGGTCTGTTCAGTGTTGGAGAGATAATGTTGAGCACGTTGCTTTGAAAGGCAATTTGAAGTAGAACGGATTAAAGACACCATTAGTGCTGACACTGTATGGGGAAAAAAAAAAAAAAAGACGGTTTCATTGACGCCGTCTGAACGAACCTGTTCTCTGTCCTGCTCTGACCTCGTCGCTTCCGATTCCGGCGTCAACACTGGACTGCGATAGTCGGCTGCTTGGCGCGATGGGGAAAAACACACAAATATTTTTTCATATGTTAGGCACTGGGACATTCAGAAGACCAAAAAAAAAAAAAAAACAGCTTAACTTGATGAACACAAAACATTTTTTTTTGCTACTCGATGCTGCCACTTGGTGTCCCTCTTGCACCAGAATTGCTTTCCCGACATGCACTCGAGTTAGTTGGGGCCTTGATGCAATTGTGTGAGTGTTTTTTTCTCAGCCTGACCTCGTGTGTGCGTGAATGTTTTATGTCGCCCGCCTGCATGCATCTCAGACCTCAATCTCCAACAGACAGGAAGTAAGACCCGAACTCTGCGGGCTGCGCGCTGAAGACTGTTTGTGCTTTGTCATCGCGAAGGGCGGTCTGCAGCTTTTGCAGGAAGTAACATAACCAACGACACTCTATCCTATCCCATAAGTCCTTTATTATTATTTTTATTTTTTAAAATGCATCCATGCATATGACGACAACTTGTATCATTGTACGTGCATGTCATTTATTTGGCATGTTCACAAAGGGCATGTACAGGACCTGTTCAGAGTGAAACGACCTGCGATAGGATTACAGGTCCCATCGGCGGGCCTCTTTGTGTGATACGGCCATTCTCAGAGACATGACCTCATCCCTGTCTTGGGCCCCGGCAACAGCGCAATGACGCACGAAGCTGCCGGGCTTGCCCAAATGGGCATCCAAAATCGAATAAGAGAGCCATTTGGAGCCATAAAATGACATCTTATTGGATGCTTTCTGTCTGCGTCTATTAGCCGTCATTAGTGCTCCAACCGCCAAGAGTGTTGAGAACAAAACTTCCAAAACTTGACAGTGCAGAGAAGCAGATTTGCGAAACCGCCCCCCCCCCCCCCCCACCACCGAAGCA